CCCGAAACCCTAGACCCTAAGCCCGAAACCCTAAACACCAATATCCTTAACTTAGCCTGAAAGCGCTGAGCCCAGACCCCGCTACCTAAAGCTTTGAAGCTATGCCTACGCTTGCAATCCCACCAGCCTCTTTATAATAGGACCTAGAAGAGTGAAGGTACAAATCCCCGCTCAACGGAAACACCAGAACCAAACCTGTGATGCCCGCCGCAATGCTGCTACATGCTGAAACGGGTGAACAAGTTTCGGAAGCAGCTTTCGCAGAGTTCTGTTTCGCCTGCTTCCGAGCCCGCCGCGAGCTCCCGTGACCTGTCTCTGGAAACCCCGCTGGTTCGGGTTCTGGCAAAGCGGGTGGGGCTTGGAGAGCCTGCCAGCCTTCTGCAAGAAGCTACTAGTGCAGCTGTTGCCGAAGCAGGAAAACGCCACCTCACAAGAAGCAGCTTGCCTCATGACTTTAGCATGTTTTAAACATCTGGCGAAATTCTGAATGGACTAGCTAAAACCAGAAACCTGTATAGGTACACGCTGGGCCGCCAAACTTGGCAACTCTGGCAAAAGGCCACAGCACATCGAGGATCGATTGCACAAGGCTGCTTTCAAATCGAGCAATGTTTTCTGGATGCATTTACTTTGTAGAGCAAGCTTTGCAACTTTATTGCGGTTTATTCACTTAACATTAAGACCCACTGCCGGCGCAGATAGAATCGAGGTGCGGCTAAAGGTGCCGGTCTCGTCAGCTTCCATTCTTGTCAAAGATGTGGTGGCCCGACACCGCAGACCGGCAGCGAAGAGCAAGGCAAAAGCAAAAGCCCGGATACGTCTGGTGAGGCTGAAACCGAAGAAGAAATCGGTTAATGCTGACGCCACCACCCCCAAGTGTGTGCAGTGGCCGGTCTTCATGCCGCACCTTCTTTTCAAAGGTCTCATTGATGGGGGCCTGATCAAGGATCTGTCCGGCGATATGGACTGGCTTGATTTCTGGGACAGGGCGAGCCACGAGGAGTGGGGCAGGGGACACCCTGTCCTTGACTGGTCACCGGAGGACCGAGCCCGGGCAATTGCCATCAGCCTGCACGGCGACGAAGGCCAAGGAAAGCGAGGCAAGTCCACGATGGTACTGAGTTGGTCGCCGCTGGCTGTTCATCGCCCTGCTCTCTTGAACAAGTACCCGTTTTGTGCAACTTGACAGAACAGAACTTTTTTTCTGTTTCATTCCAATAGTATTCCAGTCGCATTGGTGAACAGCTGTACTTTCCTGGATACTGCCTTACTTCTGAGCTTGTGCACGGCTTGGTTTATAGATCCGGAGAATAGGTCGCCTGCAAAAGGTGTTAGCGGCTTGGTATAGATAGACAAGCTCGCCTGCATAAGGTGCTCGATATGGTTATCTTCACACTAGGCTATATATAGGAGGGTGCGCCTGCGAAAGGTGTTAGTGACTTGATATATAGATACGAGGGCTCGCCTGCATAAGGTGCTCGATAAGATTATCTTCACACTAGGCTATAGGAGTGCTCGCCTGCAATAGATATTATAGTGACTTGTGGCTATCGATATATAATGTTCCCACTCATGCAGGTCATCCAAGCTGACCACTTTCACTACGAGGGCACAAAGAACGTGACGCTGGGTGGCCTGCAGAAATGCCTGGCTGACTCTTTGAACATGTGCAATCAGCCTGGTAACACAACCCTGCAGGGCTACTCCCTCCACCTTACGGTTGGAAAGGGAGACTGGAAGTTTCGGCGGGAGTGGTTGCAGATGCCGCGAAGCTATCTCAATGCCGACCTCATTTGCCCCAGGTGCTTCGCTTCCGGGACCCCGGGGTCGCAGAAACCGTGGCTGGATCCAGTTCGAGAACGGTACAACAACACGGCAGATCTCCTCCTCGCACAGGACAGCAGAGTGGGGCCGGACATCGCCCTTCACTCGGTGAAGGGCTGGAGCCCTCTTGGCGAGATGGCAGATCTGCTGCACGCCGTGTGGATTGGCACGGCGAGGGACGCCGTGGGAAGCCTTCTCTTGGACTTGGCGGAGTTTCACCCACAATGCCAGTCCATGACGACGTGGGACGAGCGGCTGAAGCTCTTGCATGCTGAGATTTTGACCTTTTGTTGCGAGAATGGCATCCGCCAGTCGACAATAGAGGAGATCAGTGCCTCGCTTGCACTTCGCATTGCTTTTTACCGGTTTTCTGTATGCATTTGTGTGAATCGTGAGCCTTGCTATCTCATGAGAGTCCAGCTAGACCCCAAGACCGAATTTCAAGCAGGCCTGACCAAACTTTCCGTGGAGCACGTCACTCTGGACTACCCACAAGGTTTTTCCAAGGGGTATGCGAACCGTGTGCTGAACCTAGGCCCAACTTTGGAAGCGTGCTTCGTGTGGGTGTTTTCGCAAAGCCTAAATCCTGAATCCTTTCCTAAACCCTAGAGCCTAAAACAAGTTGGATTTTACTGAAATCTCAGACTAGGATAGCCTACATCGCCAAACGTATGGGCGATCTGGACTTGCCACAGCTTCGTGCACAATCTGTCTGTGCATGGGCCCTGAATCGCTACCAGAAGATCTTGGACAACGCTGACATGTGGCTGAAAGATGGTGAAGCCCAAGAGCTTGGGCAGAGCCTCTTTTTGATTTCATCCTTTCTGTGTCTACCTCGGTTTTTCTCTAAAGCCAAGCCCCATTTAAGATCATTGCTGCTACCCCTAAACCCTAAACCCTCCGTCTCAACAAAATAAGCCTTGCAGGGTCGGCCGCATCTATATCGAAACCTTCACTTCGCTTGCACAACTGAATCTCTCGATGCTGAAGCCACGCTTTCGTGTACGCCCGAAGCTGCATCAGATGGCATGCGAACTGGTGGCAAGATTCAGTGGCATTCCTGGAAGTGGTCTTCCGGCAGGGTCGGCCCGGCTGAACCCCCGTTGGGGGTCCTGTTGGTCCGAGGAGGACTGGATCGGCAAGCTGTGTCGCATAAGCAAGGGTGCCGTTCATGGAAAGACTCTATGTAGGTGGAGTGCGAGTGCTGGTTTGAAGGTTCAGGTCTTGTGCAGATAGATTTCCCTGCAGGCTTGTAGTGAAAAGAGAACAGCAACCAAGTCGACAATCATATATATCCTTTCGCAGGTTTCGCTGTCCCCCAAGCACGGAACCCCCCATTGATCATGCGAACCCCCCCCCAAAAAAAATCCAAGTCCGAGTTCCTATATATAAACCCTTGACCCTCGGGCAAACACCCTTTTGATATCCTAAATCTCATAACTTGAGCCGAAAACCCAAGTCCTACATTCTATAACCAGGACTCGCCTCGCATCAAGCCATCCGAGAGCTTTATAAACCCCAAGTAATCGAACCCTGAAACTGTCGCAGGCCCTCCAACCCAACACCAACACAATCTCCCTATATACACTGGCTATATATATATATAGACCTTAATCTACGCACCCTACATAATCTCCGCGAGGTGACACGACACGTCGTGGACTACAAGAAGCACATCAAGACCGCGGCGCCACTGCACCTTGCTACCATCATAAGCCGGGGAGGGCCTATTGAAAAACCCTAAACCCTAAACCCCTAAAAACGCCCTATAGGTATATTACTCTACCCTTAAAGCCTGCTCAACACATACAATTCATAATCGAAGCCAGCACGTCCAATCCGAGAACTTCAACCAACATATCATCTGAGGATTGCTTCCATCCGCCCGAAGCAGCCGAAGGTTGCCAAAGCAAAGAGCGCGAAGTGAGTTTCCCTACGTGCCAGGGAGTTTAAATGTGGGGAGCTGCAGACATCCGCTTAGTTCACGTGGCAGATCTAGAAGGGGTAGTAACTTATAGGGGCCCTTATGCATAGCATAAGTGCTGTTCCGGCCATGTGGTCTCAGAGATTTTCCAACCCACCTGCAACACCCCAGCATCGGCCATCGAAAGTGTGGATGAGCAGCTCAGGTTTTGTCCTTTAAATCTTGAGAGGATTGCGGCGCTGCCGGTGGAAACACGAAAGGGTATGATGTGCATCCTTGCGCCCTAAACCCTAAACCC